AGGCCTTGGGCGCTTCGACCCTCTCCAAGCACTTTGGCGCCAGCCATGGGCGGCTGCTGCGGAGAGACGCGGGCAGGCATCCTGGCCTGGGGCGCTTGGCCGCAGGGGGGGGGGGGGGGGCTGTCCAGCATCGGGCGCGCCCTGCACCGCGAGCGGATGAACCAGCAAGCGGCCAGGCATATGAGTTCGGCCAAGAACGCGCTGGTCGGCTGCCTCTGGCCAGTGGCACGCCGTTTCGAAGAGGAGCGGCCGTTGGCGTCGTCGCCCTGGTGCCCGCGCGGGTGCAATGCGCACGGCGCGGTGCGCCACCTGGCGCGGCAGTGCCCCGCCACCGCGCTCGGCCGCGCAGAGTGGGATACCAATGACGACGCAGACGAGAGGAGGCCGCCCGACGACATCCACTTCGGGACCCTCGTCGACATGGCCAGCGCAGAGGCCGCGGAGGACCCGTTGTGGTCGAGGGCTCTGGCACCAGAGCATAGGCGCTCACTCCCTCTGCCCACGGCGGAGCGCCCGGCACGCAAGGAAGGGCGCGCCGACCTTGTGGGCCAACCATTTGCTGGCGACCTCTTCACCGACGGCAGCGTTCTGGACCCCAGCCTGGTCTTCGCAAGAGGTGGATGGGCCGCCGCTGTCATGAGTCGCGACGAGGAGGCCCTCAGCATCTTCGGCCCGCTACCGTGGCCATGCCCACAGGAGCCGGGGGCCGCGGAGCTTGCTGCGGCCATCGAAGGGGTGCAGAATTGCTTCCCGCCAGCCAGGATCCACACCGACTGCCAGCTGCTCGTGGACGGCTTCGCAGCGGGCAATGCGCGGTGCCCCCAGTGGCAGAGACCCTACCGTGAGCTTTGGGTCCGCTTGTGGCGAGCGCTCGAGGACATCGGCGTCGACGACGTCACGGTCCACATGGCGAAGGCCCACGCGACGCTGGCGGACGCGCAGGCCGGGCGCATCACCGACTGGCAGCGCAGGGGCAACCACAGTGCGGACGCTCGCAGGGCGCGGAGATGCATCCCACGGACGAGGTGGTTCGCGCGCGCAGCCTGCGCCAGGACCGCCTAGTCAGGAAGGTCTTCCGCTGGCTGGGCGCCGCCATGCAGGGGGGCGACGCGGAGCTGCTGACCGCCGCGGACGGCCACGATGGGCCAGGCATGGCGGCGGTGCGGTGCGACTGGCAGGGATGCAAGCTGCGCTGGAGGAGCCACTGCAGTTTTCGCGACTGCCCGCGAAGGACGTGCGGCAGACATGGTACATGGCTCGAGGTCGGCAGCGACGCGCTCTTGGCTTGCCAGGAGTGCGCGGGTAGGGGCGAGGCGATCTCGGGCTCGTGGATTTCGGGTTCGGAGGGGGCCTCGGGCTCGGTCGCCGCGGCCGCGGCCCTCCTCTCAGCGAGCGCGGCCCTGCTCTCCAGCCAGGCCAGCGGCTCGCAGAGCGCAGCAGCAGCAGATGACAGTGTTCAGCGTGGCGGTGAAGGTGGTGGGGCCTCGCCTGGCAGCGGCAGCGCGGCGGCGGCAGCTTGCGAGGAACGGGTGGCGGCACCTGCTGCGCAGCCGCCGCCCATGCCCCCACCCGCGCATCCACCGTGGCGTGGGCTCGATCCGCACGACTCCCACGAGTTGTGGCGAGCAGGCAGTCACCCCTTCTGCGTCAAGTGCGGCTACTTGACGCAGAGTGTCAGGATGTCGTGCTTGGCGAAGGTGCGTCCGAGGGCGCGCCAGAGCGACAGGAAGAAGGCGGTGCTCGGCCGCCTCAAGCGTGGGCTGCAGCCAGCAAGGCAGGGTAGCATCGGTGACCCTGAGCCGCTGCGCCGCCTGCGCAGGCGCGTGGACGGCTAGCCTCTCGCGCCAGTTCGGGCCTGAGACATGTGCGTAGGTCCGCACGCGCACGGGATCGGGCCCGATACCGTCGGCAATGCAACAGGTCCTTCCGTGGCCAGGTGCCAGGTGGACAGTTGCGCTGTTGTCAGGCAGGTCGCTTGCCGCCGCCCTAGGCTGGCCCCCCGCCGCGTGCGTGGCCTCTGCTCGGTGCGCGCGCGCAGCGGCGTGCTGTTTGCAGCGGGAACTGAACCAAGTGTGTAGGCCCGCCCACACACGGGATCGAGCTCCGACACTTCGCAGCATGGCTCGTGCTCGGGGCTGCCGTTCAGCAGCCGCGGCTGCCTGTGCAGCAAGCTTCAGCGGAGGCGGACCCAGGTGCGTAGGTCCGCCCGCGCACGGGATCTGCTCCGCCCATTAGCAATGCAACCAGTCCTGTGTGGGGCCTTGAGCCGATGGACGCGTTGCTCTGCTGATGGGTCTCATCTGTGCTGCGCTCGCCTTCTTTTTAGCGGCGCGCTCCGTGCCCTAGCTCTGTCATTTACCCCCCCCTCCCTGTCGTTCGTCCTGTTTGGCGGTGCTGGTGCTGCGCAGCCAGCCCTGGAACTCGGGCCGTGGGGTTCCGCCAGACGGGCGATACTTAGCTCTGCCCTTGGCCGACCGCTTGGCGGCGCCAGTGTCTCGCAGCCAGCCCTGGAACACGCGCCTTGGGGCTCTGCCAGTCGGGAGGTGGCGTGAATTTCTTCTTCTGGGGAGGGAGGGGCTCGGCACGGAGGACCTGGGTTTGCCGGGCCGCTTCGACCGTTGCCATGTCCCCCCCCCCCCCCCCCGCCTTATTGTCTCTGCGTGGCGAGGTCGGCTGCCCTGTCGAAACGATGCCATCAACGTGGCGGTGCAACTTATTCTTGAGCACTTGACCGCATCAGCAGATGCGCTGCCATTAGAGACATATATAATCCACGGGGTGCCGCCTGGATTGTTTGAGTTCGTGGACAGAACATTGGGCGAACCCTATAACAGAATCCTCATTCATAGGCGATGCGGACGAATGCTTCTGGCTGTCCGCGAGGTTATACTCTTGATCATGGCAGAGGGACTCCCGATTGTTTGTCCAGGAAATGAAGCACGGAGAAGCTCGACTGATACAGGCATTGCTTGTGATCCAATACTGACCGACGCATATGCGTTGGATTGCCGGATCAGGTCCACGATTAATTCGTTGACCTGATTCCCGCGTGGATCGACGGTTTAGGCGATGAAGTTCGGGACTCTGTCAGACAATGCTACACGCATATACAGTTTGCCGTAAAGTGCATGCAAACATCTGAACACATTTTCCCAATGCCAGAAGTCGGTTGACCATTCGCCGTTATGGGTATTTGGTCGCAGACAATGCCATCGGTCTCATTAGTTATGTATAGAACCTGAAGGGGGAGATCGGCACGGCCGATCCTCCTCCGGCAGCCCCTGTTGACCCAGCCGCACCGAGTGCTGCTGCTCACCCCTCTACAGGCCTTGTCACCCCTCCGGCTGACGTCAATGTCCCGAGTGGCTCTGCCGCTTCGGAGTGGAGAGGCCCACGGATTGCTCGAACGCCCTCGAGGCCTAGGACTGGTTGGACTGAGCGGCAGGCCTCCAGGCCTGCTCCATGCAACCCAGTGCCCGCCGGCTCAGCCGCGTCAAGACGCGACCCCGAACGTGGTCGGAGGTCGCAGACGGCTCCTAGCAGGTTGCACGATCGGGATCGGTCCTTTGCATGGGCCGATGAGCCCGTTGACGATGTAGGCGGCCGCGCGAGCGATGGCGGCTGGGACCCGCTGCTGGATCATCCCGGCACGGACGCCAAAGGCAACGTCCACGGGCACTTTGTCCACGTGGATCGTCATCAAAGAACTATTCACAGTTACAACATATGGTACTGGTTCAGCGCGAGCGAGTCCAATGCTCATTTCAACACCGATCACGAAGAAGCATCATGGGGCGAAAGATGGACCAGTGGGAGAGCTTGGACAATGTCTGGAGACATCCCCGCTGGAGACTTCAGTTCTGATGAGCATGCCCGCGATGCACTGCGGAATGCCTCTGCAACCTTGCCCGCGCCACTGCCGCCCCACCTACGCCGAAGGCGAGGCCGGCCGACAAGGGCAAGGGCGCAGACAAGTCCGACAGCTGGAACACCGGCACAGGATCGATGGAACTGGTGGACCAGCGATGATTGGAATGATTATCCGAGCTGGGGCGAAGATTGGCGGAGATGTCTGTGTGCAAGAAGGACCAGTACGACTTCGTCGGCATTGGTCCCAAGTCCAACGCGACGCGGGTGCACCAGGAGTGAAACAACTTTGTTGTATGGGCTGGCATTAGATATAAGCTATGGTTGGGCTCGTCGGGTTGTTTCGGTCTTTTGCCCCTCGGCAACCGCAGTTGAGCCGTAAGCTGTTTTTGCGGTTGGCTCTTGTGGCTGTGCATATGTACAGGCCGGGTGGGTGGGGGGTCGGAGCGACTCTACACGCCCCGCCGCGGGGGGAGTCAATGCACTCCTTTCCGCGCCACCATCCCGCTGCCCCTAGCTCCCTTCGCTTTGCACTGTTTGACTGTTCTGTTACTGTGGCTCCAGCTGTTTGGCTCTAGTGAAACAGAAAAGGAGCGAGCCTGCGGTCGCGCGCGCGCGTGTCGGCCGGCGGACGGGCCCCCTTCTTTCAGAGTTACCCTATTGCTAGCTTGACGGCGCACTCCTTCCTCGCCATGGCTTCAGCGGGGCCCCCTGAACATGAGGCACCATTGGAACACATTGCAGGGATTATGGATGTCGTTTCTGATGCCCGAAGGGACCACCCAGGGCCCAACAGGGGCACGAAGGGTGCACGTCCCCCTATTGCAATCGTTTCCCATACATGGATGCCCGATGTCCGCAAAAGTTATCAAGCGGGCAGATCCGTTCGGGCCCCAGGGTCGGACGACGAACTCTATGAATGTCCACTGCCCCCTAGCCAGGCCATTCCTGGGCCCAGGAGCTGCGTTTACGCCCTCCTGGCCGAGCAAGGAGGGTGTGCCGTATACGCCGCTACTGGCTTCAGGATTGGTCCAGCCAGGGAGCAGCGGGCCTGTGTAGATTTCGTCGCCCTATAGGGCCCACGGGCGAATTCGCTTGGCGTGGAAGTCCTGCGACGCCGCCCCACCAGACAGGCGCCAGCATACGCGCATGGGAGCTTGAGGTACCACCTCTTCTCGGCGGCTCAATGGTGGGGACATGAGGGATGGGGCCCAACAGATGAGGGATGAAGCCCTGAGGGATGGGCCCTGCGGGATGTCAGAGGAGGAAACGGCACCCATACCGCTACCCTTCCCCCGTTACCCGCTTTTTTTAGCCTCCTGGGGGGCCCTCGTCGCCACCGCTGGATTCGCCGTTGAATTCTGGTCAGAACGCCCTTCTGGAGAGGTGTGGGGAGTAGCGGTACACGCCGGTCGTTGGTTGGAAGTGGGTTTTTCTGGACTCCCTTATCGCAATCTGCTTCAAACGCCTTCCTACTTCAAGAGCCGATGTGCGTTTGCCATGTTTTGCTGCTTTCAGGGAGGGCCTGAGCTAGGGGAGCAAATAGTTTCATAAACATAACAAAAATCGCAGGTCCGCGCGGATTTTTCGGATCGGCACTCGATCCCCCTCCCTGGGGGGCGGAGCGCGCCAAGGGCGGCGCCGAAGGCACCGCTGGGGGGCCCCAGTGCCGATCCGAGGAATCCGCGCGGACCTCCGAGTTTTCATGTTTATGCCATTCTTTGCTCTCCTATATGAACCCGATCTACCTGATCCGCCTTCCTACTCCATGTCTTCGCCTTCCTCTTCCGACCGCTGGGTATCCGTCGGTACCCTTTGGCTTCCCCAGCAGCACCGCCGGTCGAGAGCGTCCACAGCTGCACTCGCGCGGGCCCGGCCCGCCGTCGCCGGCCGTCCGGGCCCCGCCGCCTGGCGGGCAGTGGCGCGCTCTTGACGCTGCCCTGAGGGGTGGGTCCCCACTGTCAAGTCGGGCCTGTCCCTCCACAGGAGGAATATTTCGGAGGTCGATGCTCATGCCACCCTGACGCGTCGATTAGTGAATTGGCCGTTTTCGGTTCGCGAGAGGGCGTCGCGGCCGTCATTTTTGCGGGTTCAGGCCCGTCGATTTTGGTCCCAGGCCGTTTTCACTAAAGAGTGGTTTGCTAAAGGGAGGCTTGTCCACCGCCGCGTATTCAAAAATAGTCCAACAATAGTCTGGGGACGATTGTTTTCCAATGTTGTTGAGCATTGTTCTGGCCATGTCTACTTTTCGTGAAAATTGCCGCCTGGATGAGGACCTGCCCGACCCAACCCATACGACGAGAGCCTCGGACAGAGCCTCATCCCTCAGGCCACGAGCTGGCAATTGGTACCCACGCCTGTGCAACCCTTACGTTTCTCGGGGTGGGGGGTATGTGTGTGTGTGTGTGTGTGTGTGTGTGTGTGTGTGTGTGTGTGTTTGTGTGTGTGCGCGTGTGTTGTCGGAGGGGGGGTCCCGCTCGAACGGGAGCCCCCTCGGGGTCCGACAACCCTCACCCGTACTTATATGGCCTTCATCGCTTAGCTCTTCTCTGGTCCTCCTCCCTATGGGTTTGAGACTGTGTGGTTCCATCATCATCAGGAGCCTTTCGGGGTCTCTCGGCGGGCCTCTCGGGAGCCCCGCGAAGGTCTCTCGAAGGCTCCCTGGGTGTCTCTCTTGGGGGCTTCGTGGGGACCCCTTCGGGGCCTGCTGGCGGCCTCGGTAGCCATCCTGGAGCGGGGGGTCCAGATCTCAGTCATATAGTGTTCCCCGTTTGGGGTGATTCATGAGGCCCTTTTGGCGGCATATTGGGCCCCAGCCCAAACATCTGGCGCTCAATGTTTTGTTTGATGCGTGGACTCCCGAGGTCTGGACCATTTCCCTGGGCCAGGTTTTCGTCCTGCGCCGTGTTTTGACAGTCCCGAGGCCCCACGAGAGCCCTTGGAGGCCGAAAACGGCCCAAAACCAGTAGCTCCAATGTGTGTCGGAGCCTCGGATCTTTGTCATGTGGTTCCAAAAAGTACCCCAGTGAAAGGGATTCGTGAGACGGGCGAAGCCGATTGCTCAAGTCCACCAGGCTTCGCCCGCAAGGCCGTCGCGAGACGCTCAGTCTCCAATGCAACGACGCGGTCTCGGAAGTCCCCTTCGCCGGCGTCTCATTAGGAAGCGCGTCACTTTGGGAGCGTATGCTGCTCTTGCATCATCGGTCAGCCACGCGCAGGGCGGTAGGGTTAAGTCGGGCCTGTCCCTGTACGGGAGGAATATTCGAAAATTGTCAAAAGATAGTCTGGGAACGATGTTTTGATATGTTTTGACTATTTGGGAGTATTTTCGGGGTATGTTTAATTTTTCATCCAAAATCCGCTTGTAGGGGGACATGCCCGACCTAGTGGTAGGGGGAGGGAGAAGGCCTCTTAGGAGCACCCCTGCTTCTCAGTGGGCGCGGGCCTTGTCGACAGATGCAAGGCCGACGCCTTCTAAGAGGCAGCCTTCCTCGCATGAGACTCCCCCCCTCCCCCTGCCCCCTCGTGCGCGACGCCGACCAAGACCCCCGACGTCATGATTCAGGATGGAAAGACACACACACACAGACACAATGAATCGTCGACTTCCCGGAAAAATATGGGAAACTACGGGAAGTTGGGGGGAAGACGAAAACCCAGAAAATCTAAGAAAATATAGGGGATCCTGTTTTTTGTGTCTATTTATTTGTGTGTCCCAGGGCCCCTTCACTGATTTGTTCATGACGTCGACCCACAGAGGTCTCGACCCATTCCCCGCGACCAGTTTTTCATACCGAGTCGTTTCTTGGCGGCCCTGAGGCCCGGCAGGGGCCCCCCAGGGGCCGAAGACAGCGAAACACCTCCCGTCGTGATTTTCTCATGACTCAAAGGAGTCCGGGACTGGGTTGGTGGGATGGCGGGGGATGGGGTGTGGACAGAGATCGGTTTCAACGATACTGACATTCTGGCGATCGCAACCATGGATTACGGGGGCGTGGATTAGCGACGGGTCCCGTTTCCATAGGGAAATCGCGGATTTCCGCCGCCGAGCGAGGCGGCACCAGCCGCATTTTGGGGAGGGCACCTCCCCCAATCCATGGACTTGGCGACCGCGCGCCAAATCCACGGATCGCTAATCCATGTTTGCGCGCCCCCGAGACGCGGGCTCTGCGCGGAGCGCGAAACGCGAATAAATTGATGCTCTCGCGACACCTCCAGGGCAGAAGGAAGAGGAGGAGGAGGAGGAGGAGGAAGAGGAACAGGAGGAGGAGGAGGGTGGGGAGGGGGAGGTGGAGGCAGCCCGAACTCGAGGGGGTCTGGGGAATCGGGGCCCCACCTTTGCACCGCCCGTCCTCTGGAGCCGCCTCTTCGGGGACTGGAAGATCGCGGCGGGCCTCGCCGAACGGGCGCCGTGCGCGGCCTTCCTCGACGGCGAAGCCGGGACCCCCCCCTGGAGCGCTGCGCCGGTGGTGCCGCGCGGAGGACCCGCCCCCCCGCCCAGTCGTGGGCCAAATATATACATGGATGCGTGTGTATGTGTATATATATATGTGTATATATATATATATATGTATATGGTCGGTCCCCCCCACCCAGCGACCCCCCAGAGCGCCCAAAGCACGAATCCACATAATCGTTTCGTTAAAGCACTTCGTTTTTTTCACAACTCACCTTTGGCCTGCCATCCAGGCTGACGAACTCATCCGCTCTGCCCATCCGTCACGGGCACCGTGCGCGCAAACATATCGGTTTTGGCCGAGGCCACGAAGCGCTGTGTATTACAGGTTTTTCTGGTTTTTCTGGTCTGGGAATCAACGAAACATTGTGTATTACATATTTTTCTTGTTTTTCTGGTTTCTGGAGCTGGAATGCTCGCCGCGGCCTCACCCCACCGCACCCCCCCATTTGTTTGTCGGCACATGAAAACCAGAAAAACAAAACAACCTGTCATACACAGCGTTTCGTGGCCTCCGAGCAAGAAAACACTGTGTATGATCTTTTCCCAACCATCCTGTGGTGTTGGGTCCTCGTTTTGAAGAGACGGTGCCCCGCGTCTCCTTCCTCCTCTCCTCCTCCGCCTCCTCTCCTCTCCTCTCCTCCTCTCCTCCCCTCCTCTCCTCCTCTCCTCTTCACCCACCCAGTACACCGTTTCGTGGCTCCATAGGGAGCTCCACCGAAGGCCCCAGTGCCCGCGCCCGCATGCGTCACCCACACCCATTTCGGCACACCCCTCACACGTTTCGTGGCTCCATAGGAGCTCCACCGAAGGCCCCAGTGCCCGCGCCCGCATGCGTCACCCACACCCATTTCGGCACACCCCTCACACGTTCGTGGCTCCATAGGGAGCTCCACCGAAGGCCCCAGTGCCCGCGCCCGCATGCGTCACCCACACCCATTTCGGCACACCCCTCACACGTTTCGTGGCTCCATAGGGAGCTCCACCGAAGGCCCCAGTGCCCGCGCCCGGGAGCTCCACCGAAGGCACACCCCTCACACGTTTCGTGGCCCGGGAGCTCCACCGAAGGCCCCAGTGCCCGCGCCCGCATGCGTCACCCACACCCATTTCGGCACACCCCTCACACGTTTCGTGGCTCCATAGGGAGCTCCACCGAAGGCCCCAGTGCCCGCGCCCGCATGCGTCACCCACACCCATTTCGGCACACCCCTCACACGTTTCGTGGCTCCATAGGGAGCTCCACCGAAGGCCCCAGTGCCCGCGCCCGCATGCGTCACCCACACCCATTTCGGCACACCCCTCACACGTTTCGTGGCTCCATCCCCAGTGCAGCGTCCCCACGTTTCGGCACCCCTCACACGTTATAGGGAGCTCCACCGAAGCCCCCAGTGCCCGCGCCGCATGCGTCACCCACACCCATTTCGGCACACCCCTCACACGTTCGTGGCTCCATAGGGAGCTCCACCGAAGGCCCCAGTGCCGGCGCCCGCATGCGTCAGCCACACCCAATTCGGCACACCCCTCACACGTTTCGTGGCTCCGGAGCTCCACCGAAGCCCCAGTGCCCGCGCCCGCATGCGTCACCCACACCATTTCGGCACACCCCTCACACGTTTCGTGGCTCCATAGGGAGCTCCACCGAAGGCCCCAGTGCCCGCGCCCGCATGCGTCGCCCACACCCATTTCGGCACACCCCTCACACGTTTCGTGGCTCCATAGGGAGCTCCACCGAAGGCCCCAGTGCCCGCGCCCGCATGCGTCACCCACACCCATTTCGGCACACCCCTCACACGATTCGTGGCTCCATAGGGAGCTCCACCGAAGGCCCCAGTGCCCGCGCCCGCATGCGTCACCCACACCCATTTCGGCACACCCCTCAAACGCTTCGTGGCTCCATAGGGAGCTCCACCGAAGGCCCCAGTGCCCGCGCCCGCATGCGTCACCCACACCCATTTCGGCACCACCCCTCACACGTTTCGTGGCACCATAGGGACCCTCCACGAAGGCCCCAGCCCCGCGCCCGCATGCGTCACCACACCCATTTCGGCACACCCCTCACACGTTCGTGGCTCCATAGGGAGCTCCACCGAAGGCCCCAGTGCCCGCGCCCGCATGCGTCACCCACACCCATGGCACACCCCTCACACGTTTCGTGGCTCCATAGGGAGCTCCGCCGAAGGCCCCAGTGCCCGCGCCCGCATGCGTCACCCACACCCATTTCGGCACACCCCTCACACGTTTCGTGGCTCCATAGGGAGCTCCACCGAAGGCCCCAGTGCCCGCGCCCGCATGCGTCACCCACACCCATTTCGGCACACCCCTCACACGTTTCGTGGCCCCATAGGGAGCTCCACCGAAGGCCCCAGTGCCCGCGCCCGCATGCGTCAGCCACACCCATTTCGGCACACCCCTCAAACGTTTCGTGGTCCCATACGGAGCTCCACCGAAGGCCCCAGTGCCCGCGCCCGCATGCGTCAACCACACCCATATCGGCACACCCGTCACACGTTTCGTGGCCCCATAGGGAGCTCCACCGAAGGCCCCAGTGCCCGCGCCCGCATGCGTCAGCCACACCCATTTCGGCACACCCCTCAAACGTTTCGCGGTCCCATAGGGAGCTCCACCGAAGGCCCCAGTGCCCGCGCCCGCATGCGTCAGCCACACCCATTTCGTCAACTCCCTCACACGTTTCGTGGCTCCATAGGGAGCTCCACCGAAGGCCCCAGTGCTGCCGCCCGCCTGCGTCAGCACGCCCATCCCCTTCACACGTTTCTTGGCCCTGTAGGGAGCTCCACCGAAGGCCCCAGTGCTGCCGCCCGCCTGCGTCCTGCACGCCCATCCCCTTCACACGTTTCTTGGCCCTGTAGGGAGCCCCACCGAAATTGGTAGTGTCAACTGCGGTATTCACACCTGCACATGGTTGGGTCCTTCGTCAGGCTAATTGTTTGTTTTTATGTTTTCTGGTGTGGGAATCAACGAAACACTGTGTATGACAGGTTTTTTTGGTTTTCTGGTTTCTGGAGCTGGAATGCTCGCCGCGGCTTCACCCCGCCGCCCCCCCCCCCCCCCTGTTTGTCGGCACCTGAAAACCAGAAAAACCAGAAACACCTGTCATACACACCGTTTCGTCGATCCCAAGACCAGAAAATTATCCTGGCGAAGGACCCAACCATATGCAATTGTGAACTCTGCAATTGTGAATATCTTCTCGGTGGAGCCCCCTACGGGGCCACGAAACGTACGAGGGGTGTGCCGAAATGGGTATGCGGGACGCATGCGGGCACACCCACTGGGGCCTTCGGTAGAGCTCTCTATGAGCCCAAGAAACGTGTGAGGGGCGTGCCGAAATTAGTGCGCGGGACGCATGCGGGCACACCCACTGGGACCTTCGGCGGAGCTCCCTGTGGGGCCACGGAACGCGTGAGGGGCGTGCCGAAATGGGCGTGGCTGACGCATGCGGGCGCGGGCACTGGGGCCTTCGGCGGAGCTCCCTATGGGGCCACGAAACGTGTGAGGGGTGTGCCGAAATGGGTGTGGCTGGCGCTTGCGGGCGCGGGCACTGGGGCCCTCGGTGGAGCTCCCTATGGAGCCACGAAACGTGTGAGGGGTGTGCCGAAATGGGTGTGGGTGGCGCATGCGGGCGCGGGCACTGGGGCCTTCGGTGGAGCTCCCTATGGAGCCACGAAGCGTGTGGGGGTGTGCCGAAATGGGTGTGGGTGACGCATGCGGGCGCGGGCACTGGGGCCTTCGGTGGAGCTCCCTATGGGGCCACGAAACGTGTGAGAGGTGTGCCGAAATGGGTGTGGGTGACGCATGTGGGCGCGGACGCTGGGGTCTTCGGCGGAGCTCCCTATGTGACCGCGAAACGTTTGAGGGGTGTGCCGAAATGGGTGTGGCTGACGCATGCGGGCGCGGGCACTTGGGCCTTCGGTGGGGCTCCGTATGCAGCCACGAAGCGTGTGAGGGGTGTGCCGAAATGGGCGTGGGTGACGCATGCGGGCGCTGGCACTGGGGCCTTCGGCGGAGCTCCCTATGGGGCCACGGAACGTGTGAGGGGTGTGCCGAAATGGGTGTGGGTGACGCATGCGGGCGCGGGCACTGGGGCCTTCGGTGGAGCTCCCTATGGAGCCACGAAACGTGTGAGGGGTGTGCCGAAATGGGTGTGGGTGACGCATGCGGGCGCGGGCACTGGGGCCTTCGGTGGAGCTCCCTATGGAGCCACGAAACGTGTGAGGGGTGTGCCGAAATGGGTGTGGGTGACGCATGCGGGCGCGGGCATTGTGCATTCGGCGGAGCTCTCTCTGAGCCACGAAACCGATGCGCGGCGCGGGCACTGGGGCCTTCGGTGGAGCTCCCTATGGAGCCACGAAACGTGTGAGGGGTGTGCCGAAATGGGTGTGGGTGACGCATGCGGGCGCGGGCACTGGGGCCTTCGGTGGAGCTCCCTATGGAGCCACGAAACGTGTGAGGGGTGTGCCGAAATGGGTGTGGGTGACGCATGCGGGCGCGGGCACTGGGGCCTTCGGTGGAGCTCCCTATGGAGCCACGAAACGTGTGAGGGGTGTGCCGAAATGGGTGTGGGTGACGCATGCGGGCGCGGGCACTGGGGCCTTCGGTGGAGCTCCCTATGGAGCCACGAAACGTGTGAGGGGTGTGCCGAAATGGGTGTGGGTGGCGCATGCGGCCGCGGGCACTGGGGCCTTCGGTGGAGCTCCCTATGGAGCCACGAAACGTGTGAGGGGTGTGCCGAAATGGGTGTGGGGACGCATGCGGGCGCGGGCACTGGGGCCTTCGGTGGAGCTCCCTATGGAGCCACGAAACGTGTGAGGGGTGTGCCGAAATGGGTGTGGGTGACGCATGCGGGCGCGGGCACTGGGGCCTTCGGTGGAGCTCCCTATGGAGCCACGAAACGTGTGAGGGGTGTGCCGAAATGGGTGTGGGTGACGCATGCGGGCGCGGGCACTGGGGCCTTCGGTGGAGCTCCCTATGGAGCCACGAAACGTGTGATGTGAGGGGTGTGCCGAAATGAGTGTGGGTGACGCATGCGGGCGCGGGCACTGGGGCCTTCGGTGGAGCTCCCTATGGAGCCACGAAGCGTGTGAGGGGTGTGCCGAATTGGGCGTGGGTGACGCATGCGGGCGCGGGTACTGGGGCCTTCGGTGGAGCTCCTATGGCGTTGCGAAACGCTGTACTGGGTGGGTGAAACGCAGGGAAGAGAGGGGATGATGATGATGACGATGATGATGATGATGGTGATGATGATGATGATGGCAGGAGGGAGGGGGCAGCGGGAGGAGGAGGAGGAGGAGGAGGAGTGAACGCGGGGCGCTGTCTCTTCAAAACGAGGACCCAACACCGCAGGATGGTTGGGAAAATAACCACAACAAACTTGTCATACACAGCGTTTCGCGGCTTCGCATGAAGAAGGAGCTGTGTATGACAGGTTGTTCAAGTTATCTCATTTGGGAATCAACGAAACGCCGCGCACGGTCCTCGGAGCAAGGAAGCGCTGCGTGGCAGGCGTTGTTCTGTACTCTTCGGGGACTACAGCGCTCGCCGCTGACTGGCATTGCTCCTTGAGGAAGGCCTCCTCCAGCATCTTCCCTGTTGCCAGCCGCAAATCCTCGCCCCTGTGCCAGTACAACCACTGGTAGGAGCGGACCTTGTTGGTCAGCATCTTGGTGTTCACTGTCTTCTTAGCCCCTAAGTGTTACCGCAGCGCCCCAGATGCGGTCGATGATTTGGGTGCCAGCTTTAACCCAAACGAGCTTGGTCTTGTTGGGCTTGCTGTCATCTGGAACATCGTGGTGGGTGATATTGGTGAACTTAGGCTTGATCCACATCCACTTACCCTTGACCATGACGCGCCTCTTGGCGTGGACAACCCAATCATGCTTGACCCCTTCGAGCTTCAACTTATAACTCGTGGCCCCGTCCGCGTGCAGTATGATGTTACGATTGTGGACCCATTTGTAGGCCAGAGGCTTCCAATCGCGCTTGCGGATCGGGCCTGGGCCTGGCGCCCGCCTCTTTGTCTTCGCTGGGCCCAGCTTGAACAAGACGAGGGATTTCTGGTCGCCGCGCTGAACCACGCCGCCCCATTGTTCCCAGATGACAGGCTTGTCAGTCGCAGCGTCTGTGTTGGGGTCTTCTCCTTTGGCGATGTCCACTTCGTCGGCTTCTACGTCCGCCCAGGGCAAGCCGGCGCCGAACTTGATGTTCTTCTCGTGCTGGACCACGCTCTTGGCGCGCACCGCGTGCAAGGACTCGTAGATGCTCTCCGTGAACTTATGATTCTTCTGCAAGAGAACACGCGCAATTGAGCAGAAGAGCACAGAAGCTTGATCTGCCAAGCTCACGTGCGACTGCCCCGTACCGCACTTGAAAATTGAATGGAAAGCGTGCGGGAGCACGCGGCGCTTGCACTTCTTGCTGTTGCAGCGGTAGGCCCACCCTCCATTCGAATCGGCGTAGTGCTTCAGAGGGCCAAGAGTACCTTCCCCGCAATAGGGGCACGTGACGCCCTTCCAATCAGGGAGGATCTTGTCGCGCGTCAGCTTGTCGATGATGGTCTTCGCGGGCATGTCCGCGAAATCCTTGAGGGACCTCGCCCACGTGGCCTGCGCATGGCGAATCTTCTTGGTCGGGGCCCCGTGGCGCGCGCACGGCACGTTCTTGGGCGCGCCGAGCTTGTCGGCAGCCGCTGGCTTCTTCAAGACGGAGGGCGCCGCCGCTGGCCTCCTGGCGGCAACCTGAGATTGCGCGGCAGCGCGGGCCTTGCCCCTCTTGGCAGCAGGCAGCGCCTTGCCCATCGCAACCAGCTCGCCGCTCGCGCGGGCCGCGCGACGCGTTCGGCAGCTGAACCGCGAACCTCTCGAGCCGAAATCGCTGCGGACATGGTCAGCGGGCCTTGACACATGTGGAAGCCAAAGCAACGGGATGATAAGACGACCGCTGGACTGAGAACAAGTTGCGCGAGCAAACATTCCCGCGGCTAGATGCATATCACCTCACAAACAATGGAATGTTCATAATGCGCATGCGCGTGATATCATGCCCCTATCGATGCCCCCCCCCCCCCCCCCCCCCATCGCAAGTTCACGAGCTCGACGCGGCGCCGCTTGCCGCGCCATCCGAGAACTGCGAGATCAAGCCGTCAAGCTTGGCCTTCTCTTGCTCCCGAAACTTCTTGGCGTCCACGCGGGCCTTCTTCGGCGACGCAGAGCACAGATTGATGACCCCGCCGCCGCCGCTCAACTTGCGCTTCCACACGCCTGGCTCCGCCTTCACTGGCTTGGTCGGGGGGGTGGCTGGCGTCGCCTCTGGCGCGGCCGTTCTCTTTTGGTCACGGCCCAACGTGTTCTCTTTTGGTTGTGACGTAACGTGCGCTGGTTATCCCAGAGCGCGCGCCATTGTCTGGCACAGCGCCCGCGCAAAGGCGAGCGACTCTTGCGATGCCGTCGTCGTCGCTAGCTACAGTCTACAATCTACATTTAGCTAAGTAGGCACGCGTGAGATGGGGGGGGTCTTATTCAATATCCCCCATCCACGCCCACTGCTGTGGGCGCGGCGACGACATGCGACGCTGTCTCGTTTATCATCGCACGTCACCCAACCGCGTTCCAAACCAACGGGCCAACGCGACCCTTCTTTGTCGTGAGATGGGGGGATCTTAAATAAGATCCCCCTCGTTGGCCACTGCTGCGGCCACGGTGGTAAAGTTCGGTTTGATTTCGCTTGGCATTGACGCAATGCCGACGCACATGACAACAGGTGGACTATAATGCGTCAGCATTTGCTTTGGTTAGCGGGGCCGCGAGAACGCGTGCCCACCTCGCTGTGCGCCCATGCAACCATTGCGCTCCAGGGTGCAGCTTCTTTCTCGAGGTATTGCACGGGGTTGGCTGAATGCAGGTTTGCATGGACGGATGTGGGGGAGATGGGCGGTGGTGGCAGAACGGATTTCTGCAACCATGCCACTGCATGTTGTTCCCACTCACCCGCTAGGTAACTCTATCGAGCTCTGCCGCTTCCCCGTGCCACGAAACTGCACCGAGACATACAACACATGTGCTGGCTATTTGGGCTGTTAGGCAACTGGGTCAGTGGGGAGTGCTAGGGCGTATGTAGGTGCATGTTGGCTCGGAGCTAGACCATTCCGCTCCAATCGAACATCGACATTCGGGAGGAAGGTCCTTGGGGGTCCCCAAGCTAGCCAACCTGGAACCCCGAACTCCCTAAGGGCGCCAAGCACTGAGCAGCATTCGGTGTCCAAGGTCTGGCAACAAACCTGCAGCTCAGGAGGCACGTGAGGGCCCGAAGGATGTGGGGTTCCTTCATGGATCTTGGCTCAGGACACCGCCGCTGTGGCTGCCCCGCGCCGAGCCAGTCTGCCAAATCTCCCTCTGTCAGGCAGGCCTAGAATCGGGATAAGTCGCCCCAGAGCCTTCAGCAACGCTCTCCGAGCGTTTCGGGGCGCTCTGGAACGGATGCGGGGCCCCCCCCGGCACATTCTCCAGGACCGCCAAATCTCAGAGACCCCGGGTTGGTCCGGGCGTGACCCTCTACAGGAGGAAGATTCAAAGATAGTAGAAAATAGCCTGGGGACGATCTTCCTACCATTGTTAATGATTTTCTGATCTTTTTTGGATTCTTTTCCTTCTTCCAGAAATCGGCCTGTACGGGGACATGTCCGACCTAAGGTTTTTCCTGGTCCGAGGTTGTCCCTGCCCAGGCCTCGTCTCGCCGCTCCGCCAAGCCTCCTCCCCCTCCGGCCCGCGGCCCGCCCCCCGGGAGGAGGCCCACGACAGCCGGAGCTCCAGTGGGCGGTGTGGAGCCCTGCGGAGTGCCGCTTCGTGGTTCAGGCCGTGTCCGTGCGAGCCTCGCCGAGCGTCGAGAAAAGACTGACATCGGTGCGCCTCCCACGCCAGGGGCAACGTTAGGGTTATGTCGGGCCCGTCCCTCTACAGGGGGAATATTCAGAAATAGTCAAAAAATATTATGGGGACTATTTTCTAGTTTTTTGTTGACCATTTGGGGGTATTTTTACGCATTTTTTCCTTACCTAGGCTCTGCCTAGAGGGTTTTTACTCGCTGGGCTTAAAGGGGCCGGGCAGTGTTCCTCGCCCCAGGCGGTTCCCCCAGTATCCGCCCCGCGGTTCCCCCAGTTGCGCCCCCTGGGTTCACCCAGCTTAGCTAAGCTAAGCTATGCTAAGCTAAGCTTAGCTTAACTTAGCTTAGCTTAGCTTAGCTTATCTCATCTTAGCTTTGCTTAGCATAGCTTAGCATAGCTTTGCCTAGCCTAGCTTGGCTTAGCTTAGCTTATCTCATATTAGCTTAGCTTAGCTTGGCTTAGCTTGGCTTAGCTTAGCTTAGCTTAGCCGAGCCTAGCCTAGCCTAGCCTAGCTAAGCTTAGCTTAGCTTAGCCTAGCGCAGCCCAGCGCAGCATAGCGCAGCGCAGCATTAACACAACATAGCATAGCATAGCATAGCCAAGCGTAGCATAGCATAGCATAGCATAGCTCAGCATATCATAGCATATCATACCATAGCATAGCATAGCGCAGCATAGCATAGCATAGCATAGCGTAGCATAGCATTGCTTAGCATAGCACAGCGCAGCATAGCATAGCACATCATAGTATAGCATAGCATAGCGCAGCATAACATTTGATATTATAGCATAGCATAGCGCAGCACATCATATCATAGCATAGCATAGCGCAGCATAGCCTAGCATAGCATAGCGCAGCATAGCATAGCATAGCATAGCATAGCGCAGCATAGCATAGCACAGCACAGCACAGCATTGCATAGCATAGCATAGCGCAGCACAGCATTCACTATTGCTGCTGCTAATGTTGCTTTCCTAGAGGCTCCAACTCCTAGGTAGGGTCGTACTGGGATAATTTTTGTCGTCGAAGATCCTCCTGTTGTAGGGGGACGCGCCCGACTTAACGTTAGGGGGGATAGGCTCAGGGGGGAGGCATCGACCCCAAGTCGCCAATGCTTCTCGCCGGTGTGTGGTCGGCAGCCCGCCGCGCCCAGGGACGTGCGGAGTCGTTGTCGCGGGCCCATCGCTTGCGTATCGGCGACGTCTCGCCGATTCCATGTCGAGGTTTTTGTTCCCCCACAAGCCAGTCCAGTCGATCACTGCCCCTGACCACGTCCTCACCTTTCGCAGCGCCGAGGTCTGCGATCTGCGGTCGGGATCTCATGGTTGGCGTGTCGCTCCCTGGCCCACCACGCTTCGGCGCGACACGCTATCTAGGTCTCGGCTCCCAGGCGTCAACGTCCCGAGCCGTTCTCAGTCTCCCGCCCCGCGGAGAGGGGCGACACGCTACGTATCCGATTGCACGGCATATCGTTTCACCGGGGCCGCCGCGGTGACAAGCTTAGCAAAAGTTCCTGACCGTAATTATTGGTGCCTCCAACTTGTGGTCCTCTTCTTCCTTGTCCATATATTCCTCTTGCCTTCTCGCTCTCATTGGCGTTGGTGATATCTTGCTCCGTCAATGTTGCTTGCGTCTGGCAGCGTCTGAATGGTCATTACAGTAGGCTCACCTAACAAACAAATTGCCTGGCAGGAGGTGCCCCATGGAAGTGTCTCGTCCTCCGATGGGCCCAGAGACCCATGGGGCGTCTTCCGAAGCTCCGAATCCACGAACGATGTTCACCTTGATATATTGTGGCAAGTCTTCTTATTGCGTGCACGCTGTATCCCTCTTTTTTCTTATCTTCCTAAGTATCCTCATGCTCCTCCTCTTCCTGCGTTGGATAAACATACTCATCATCAACACTTGCTTTGCGAGCCGTTGCTACACAATGAAGAATCTCGGGTCAAGCGCAGAACAAGGAGCTTTATGCGTAGACGAATTAGGCCTCGTCCGCAGGGGTGGGTCTGCCGCCGCGAGTTTGAATCGTAGGCCTTTGGAGTGATAGCGTTATGCACTGACAGAACTGCGTTCAGTCAAAACGCACCTGAGCGCAACTGCTGATAAATGCGCGTTGGCTTTGCCTCTGCTCCCACCGCGTAATACTGCTGAGACACCTCGCCTCAGTCATGGATTCACAAGGATGGTGCTCAGAGGGGTAGCTTTCCGCCATATTATTCAATCGCTTCGCTCACTCCGCTGGCCCATTTCGCATCACTGTGGCTGCGAGGTGGTGTGCTCGTGCCCGGGGGGAACGGTAGGGCAGGCAGGACGGTCTTCGAGGAGATTCTTGGAGATGTGACTCGCACTCTGTCAAAGAGAGCCTGTCGACTGCCCCAGAGGGCGCCAAGATGGTTCAAGAGAGCTCCAGCAGAGTTTCGAGACGTACCTGGGTTGTGGGTCAAAGTCCTCATGGATGCTTCTTGGGGCCTCTTCGGAGGGAGCCTCTGGGGAGCAGTTTCGAGGCCTCGTGGGAGTCTTATGGGGGCTTCTTGGCGGCCTCTTGGGGCTTCCTGGGCGCCTGTTGGGAGTCTTGGGAGCCTCTTGTGTGCCTCTTGGGGGTCTCTTGTGGCCTCGGCCTCTTGGTTGGTCTCTTGGGGGGCTCTGTGGGCATCCTGGGCGCCTCTTTGGGCCGAGAGCTCGACATGTCTGTTCGGGCTCCCCCTCTGGGCCCCTTCTTGGGGCCATCCTGGGGCCGTCTTGGAGGCCTCTTGGACCGTCGTAGGGCCATATTGGGCCATTTGGGGACCCTCTAAGCCGTCTTGGAGCGATCTTGGGGCCTTTTGGGCCGTCCAGGGTGGTCGGCAGCTCGAAAAGGCTGTACTGCCAGAATCGTCCGAAAACCTTGGCAAAATCAATGACTTTTGTGTCTTCGCGGCCTCTCGAAGTCCTCTTGGAACCCTCCTGGAGCGTCTTGGGCGCTTCTTGGGCCGTCTTGGGACCAACTTGGGCCATCTTGGAACGCTATTGGCCTGAGGCCGCGGGGCGTGCCACCCTTTTGGCGCCTCATTGGAGCTCTCGGGGGGCCCCCAAGGCCGCGCGCGGGAGTTCCGGCATCTCTGACCCGACCTTGCCGGGACTTGCCAGGACCTCACTGGTACACTTTTCGGCCGGAGACCCCCAGTGGCCGCCATGCGCGCGCGAACTACAGAAGCATTCTTAAGCTCTTACCAGAGATTTGAGCACGCCTCTGGCCCGTTGGGCCGGTGAATTTCAATCGAGCGATCCCTGGGATCAAATTTTCATAATTAGCCTGACGAAGGACCCAACCATATGCAGCTGCGAGTGCCGCATTGTGGTTACCGCTTTCGGTGGAGCTCCCAATGGGGCCACGAAGCGTGCGAGGGGTGCGCCGAAATCGGTGGAGCGGACGCATGCGGACCCTGCCACTGGAGCCTTCGGTGGAGCTCCGTATGGGGCCACGAAGCGCTGTCCTGAGTGGCGTTGACGCATGCGGACCCTGCCACTGGAGCCTTCGGTGGAGCTCCGTATGGGGCCACGAAGCACTGTCCTTGGTGGCGGTGACGCATGCGGACCCTGCCACTGGAGCCTTCGGTGGAGCCCCGTATGGGGTCACGAAACGCTGTCCTGGGTGGCGGTGACGCATGCGGACCCTGCCACTGGAGCCTTCCGTGGAGCCCCGTATGGGGCCACGAAGCGCTGCCCTGGGTGGCGGTGACGCATGCGGGCCCTGCCGCTGGAGCCTTTGGTGGAGCTCCGTATGGGGCCACGAAGCGCTGTCCTGGGTGACGGTGACGCATGCGGACCCTACCACTGGAGCCTTCGGTGGAGCTCCCTATGGGGCCACGAAGCGCTGTCCTGTGGCGGTGACGCATGCGGACCCTGCCACTGGAGCCTTCGGTGGAGCTCCCTATGGGGCCACGAAGCGCTGTCCTGGGTGGCGGTGACGCATGCGGACCCTACCACTGGAGCCTTCGGTGGAGCTCCCTATGGGGCCACGAAGCGCTGTCCTGTGGCGGTGACGCATGCGGACCCTGCCACTGGAGCCTTCGGTGGAGCTCCCTATGGGGCCACGAAACGCTGTCCTGGGTGGGTGAAACGCAGGGAGGTGACGAGGCGGTTGGAAGGAGGAGGGGGAGGAGGAGGAGGAGGAGGAGGAGGAGGAGGAGAGGAGAGGAGGGGGAGACGTGGGGACCGTTTCTTCAAAACGAGGACCCAACACCACAGGATTGTTGGGGCGGAAACAAAACAGCATCGCGAAAAATCACGACGACTCCTAGACGCAATCGTTCTGATCTTTTGCTGCATTTCTCGGGCCGCAACGACCTGTGATGGTTCCGAGGCCCGACGCCCGCATCCCAGAGGTCTCGCACCCAGCCATTTTTGGGTGGCGCGAATCCGCCTAGATCAGATCCACGCCTGCCACTGGCCGTCCCCGAACTCCGGATCCGCCGTGCTTTGGTTAATTTCCCGACTCGAGCCCGTGCCGGACATGCACAGAAAACAATGCGAAAAAGTAGGGCGGCATGTTTTGTTGCATCTTCCCCCTCATCAAAATAAGGCGGAGATGGCCGCAGAGGTATTGCGGAAAAACAGCGACGGCACAGCTGGGCGGAAATCTACACCAACAGTAGGGTGTCAGGGCAAAGCAGGGCGCTTGAACAGTAGGGTGGCATTTTCCACCCTATTTCCGAAATCCCCCAACGTTTGGCGGATCAGAGGTCGTATGACGCCATGGCGCTACGTTGACGCTGTGCTGCAATGGTGGCGCTGCCGTGCAACGGCGACGGCCTGTGACGTCCGTATCAAGACGACCCCGATATCTCGACATGCGTCCAGAAACAAGTCAATGCCAACGGTATTCACTCGACGACTGCACGCGCGAAACGACCGCCCAGAGCCCGGCGGAGCAGAGATCGGGGCCGCCCTCGCTGCGGCCTCTGGTCGGCACGCCTGCGCGCCGGGCTCCGGAGCCCGAGGACCCGCCGCGTGCGCTCCCCACTGGGGGGCGGCCCCCGACGGCGGGGGGACCACATGGTTTTCTGGTGAGTCGGTGGGGCTCTCCTCCTCCTCCTCCTCCTCCTCCTCCTCCTCCTCCTCCTCCTCCTCCTCCCCTTCCTCCTCCTCCTCCTCCTCCTCCTCCTCCTCCTCCTCCTCCTCCTCCTCCTCTCTCCCTCCTCCTCCTCCTCCTCCCTCCCTCCTCCTCCTCCTCCTCCTCCTCCTCTCCTCCCCCCCCCCCTCCTCCTCCGCCTCCTCCTCCTCCGCCTCCTTTTTTGCTGGAGGCATGCTGCAAGCGACGCTAAAGAGATGAACACAGTACAATTAGAAAAACACCCGTCCCACTCTCCGGCCATCAGGTCTGACGGCTGGAGCGTTGCTTCTTGGGTGTTTCAGCCCGGACTTCTGCGCGAGCCTCCTTTCTCGGGAATCCAGTGCATCCAGCGCGTCAGTTTCTTCCTGCGACATGGGGTGACAATTGTCAAGACACCAGTCTCTGCACCGGGTCGGTCCTTCGGTCCTCCGCCTCCTCCTCCTCCTCCTCCTCCTCCTCCTCCTCCTCCTCCTGAGTCGGTGGGGCCTCGGGGCTCTCAGGCGTTTCGGCGGCTCCTGGCGCTCCTCTTGCCTCGGGGTGCGTTCTGGCAGTTACGCCTCGCGGGGAGCTCGGGGGCTGCAAATCGGGGGGTGATGACCAGGGGGGGGGGATATCATGGCGGGGGCCATGATATTTCCCCAGATTTCATGGCGCCCCTGCTTATTTCATTACGTCCCTGGCCCCCCCGCTGGGACGCGCACACATGCCGCCGGTCATGATTTGCACCCCCCCCTCTTGGATACCCCCCTCTTGGCCGCTCCCGAAGAGCGTTTCGGGCTCTGCCCGCACGGTCCCGAGCGGCAGCAGGAGGCCCGAGATGTGGATGGGGGGGCCACGAGCACTCGGAGGGGGGCCGGCGTGGTAGGTCCAGGGATTCGGGGTGACCGCATCGTTGTGGGAGTTGGGTGGTTCTCAGCGGATTCTTCTGGCGATTCAGGCCTCCAAGGTCCGAAGGCGTGCAATGACGGGCCGTGCGGTGAGGTCGTTGGGGTTTCCGAGGTCGCCAGGTGATTCGCCACTGCACCATTCTGGGACCCCAAATCTTCCGCCTTGACCCCAATCGATTGTGAGACAAGTCGAACCGAGAGTTGCGACGATTCGGCGGATGTTCGAATGCTACAGCTTTCGCGGCACAAGGCCGCTCTCCATGAACGCTTGAATGGAAATTGGTTGCGGTCGCATACTTATGTTGCTACCCGCATGCTGCTGCTCACGTGCCAGACTCGATTAACACGCTCATGCAAAGAAACAGGCCCCAAGCCTCCCTACCTTTGCACCCCTCCCCCTCCCTCTCCGCCGTCGTCACAGAGGTCCCGACCTTGTACCATGGTGCAGTTTTTCGCCCTGGCTCTAGAATTAAGTCGGGCCCGTCCCTCTACAGGAGGAATATTCAAAAATAGTGAAAAATAGTCTGGCGACTTTTTTATAGTATTTCCTGACCATTGTGGACTATTGTTTGGGTATTTCTTAATTCTCGTCGAAAATCCCCCTGCAGGGGGACACGCAAGTCTAGTACTGATTGCCCCGGAGCTCGAGAACGGGCCCCGCAGAGGCTGAAGTCGAGGAGAAAACAGCGGGCAGTCGTGTCGTCGGAGGTCTGGGCGCCCGCCTCCCCCGTTCCCTCCGCTTCCCCACCGTTGCCGCCGCGGAGCATGCTGCCAGACCGAGGAGGAGGAGGAGGAGGAGGAGGAGGAGGAGGAGGAGGAGGAGGAGGAGGAGGAGGAGGAGGAGGAGGAGAGGAGGAGGAGGAGGAGGAGGAGGAGGAGGAGGAGGAGGAGGAGGAGGAGGAGGAGGAGGAGGAGGAGGAGGAGGAGGGGAGGAGGAGGAGGAGGAGGAGGAGGAGGAGGAGGAGAGGGAGGAGGAGAGGGAGGAGGGGGAGGAGGAGTGAGGAGGAGGAGGAGGAGGAGGAGGAGGAGGAGGAGGAGGAGGAGGAGGAGGAGGAGGAGGAGGAGGGGGGAGGGGATGAGAACCCTCATGCGAAAAAACAGCCCCCCCCTGCGTCAGGCCCTCCAG